CCCTGATCTTAATATAGTTCTCCAGGTTCTAATCCAACCCTGATCTTAATATAGTTCTCCAGGTTCTAATCTAACCCTGATCTTAATATAGTTCTCCAGGTTCTAATCTAACTCTGATCTTAATCTAGTTCTCCAGGTTCTAATCTAACCCTGATCTTAATATAGTTCTGCAGGTTCTAATCCAACCCTGATCTTAATATAGTTCTCCAGGTTCTAATCCAACCCTGATCTTAATCTAGTTCTCCAGGTTCTAATCTATCCTTAATATTATCTTAGTATGCTGCCCGTTTATCCCGTGAGGTGTCTGATGCTGTACAAAAGATAAACTGGGATGAGATGGAAGAGGTTCTGGTTAGAATACGTCCTTGGATCCGGGTAGATGGAACACTCAACCGGAGAGTGTTGGATAGGTATCTTATTTCTTTAATTTTTCTAGGTTCTATTTATATATTTTTGTTAAGATATCGATCTTATGTTTCTATCCGTTTTCCAGAACTGATTATCAATCTTCTAGGTGATATTTCTAGACTTTGTTATCTTTCTAGATTTTCTGGTTTATTTAAAATAAGTTTTTATTTATCTTGTTTTGAGTAAATGTTCCAAAAAATATTCGTAAAGATAAGAACTGTTAGCCCAAACAACCAGGGGTGCTAGCCCCGATAAATCTTATCTTATCTTATGCTATTAAAAATCTGAATTTTTTTTTTTCTTTTTTTATTGGTTTAATGGGAAGGTAGAGTTAACAAATTTTAAGAAAATATTAAATCAAACTAGATTATTTGGTTGCCCTCCTCCCACTCCACAAACCCAAAATGACTTGTCTACGTTCCAGGTTGCTCGGTGCTGTGCTGGGCGGTGTAATGCAACAACCTGGATCTCTTCTATCCAACCTTACTTCAAGATTCTCACCAGCTCTACAACCAACCCATTCAAGGGAGCTTCTCTTCATTCTACAAGAGATACAAGCTGTATCAATACTTAAACTAGTCAAGCAGAGTACTATAGGTAGGATACAGACTATTCTACAGGAGATACAAGCTGTATCAATACTTAAACTAGTCAAGCAGAGTACTATAGGTAGGATACAGACTATTCTACAGGAGGTACAAGCTGTATCAATACTTAACCTAGTCAAGCAGAGTACTATAGGTAGGATACAGACTATTCTACGGGAGATACAAGCTGTATTAATACTTAAACTAGTCAAGCAGAGTACTATATGTAGGATACAGACTATTCTACAGGAGATACAAAATGTACCAATACTGAAATTGCATTAGATTTTCCACACATTAAATTTACTATGGTTACTACAAGATTAAATTTGATGTAAGTTTTTTTTTACTTATTGCATGTGTTAAGAAATTTTATTTATTTTTTACTTCGGTTTTTTTTAAAAGTCCATCCTCCAATTTTCGCAAAACTTTTTTTTAGAGATTCCCTGTAATGTATTTAATGATTATTCAAAGTTTCATTTTTGGTTTTTAATTGCTGTTAGAGCAAACGCTTTTAGAACCTTAATTTTAGGATGGTTTTTCAAAATTTGCTTTAGCAAACAAACAAACAAACACAATACAAACTAACAAACAAACTAGTAGAATCGATCATTGATTTAAATTTATTTACACTGCTTAAATTTTAGGACTTTGGAGTAAACCGGGAAAAGTAAGTTTAAAGCCTGCCGATATATTGGACCTTGATACTGAGGTTAGTCTTCTTTATAATAAAGATCTTCGTATTTATATTTATATGTTAGCTAAGGCTGGCCAAACGGCTCGACCAAAATGGCTGAAAATCTTTGAGGAAACCATGAGTATCATGGGGAGGGGGGTAACGTAGGCTAAAAAATTAAAAATTTGTTTCTTCGAAAATAAATTTTGTTTAAATCAGTATTTTCAAAAAAAATTTAAGTTTACGGGCAACGCCGGGAACGTCAGCTAGTTATTAACAAAATATTGTTACTAATATTTTAATCATGAGAGAATGTTTTACATTTAAAAGATTAAAAGAATCTCAAATGTTTATATATTTTATAACATTACGTTTGCTTTAATTACATTATGCAACATTTTTCTCTGACCAAAGATATGAACTAAAAACTATTATTATAACGATGGTATAAATGGTGTTGTCTAATATTTTTGTTCAGAGAAAAAATTAGCATAACCTTACTAAAAGCAGAGCCCGCGATTAAATATTTTTGGAAAATAAGACTTATTGTCATTGAGACTAATTTAAGACTTGAGCTTTTGGATTTAAGTTGTAATCTAATTTCCATTAAGTCTGGTTTATTCAACCGGTTTAATATTGTGTTCAGCGGATTTGCAGGGTTGGAATTGGCTGGTTGGAACTAAGATAAGATAAACTAAACATTAAGACTAATTCTCCACTGAAACCAACCAAGGTCGATTTTTATTATATTGGGTCCTGAAGTCGAGCCTAAGAGCTGTCGCTAGCTGATTCATAAGTTGACTCTAGGATTGAACCTTGAATCTGGGTTTAAGGAAATAGGACTCGAGCTTAAACTTTGAAATCTCGGGCTCAGTTCATAGAAAACCATTTTCATTTTACACAAAATTTTTATTCGTTTTCTATTTTTCAGTTGATCGTAGAACCCAGTGTGGACAGTATTCTTAAACTAGGACAGTTCATTGGAGACAAACTATACTCACAAGACTTTGTCTGCCAGTGCCCCTGTCATCCAGAGAGAAGAATGTAAATATTCTACCAGTCCCCCTGTCATCCAGAGAGAAGAATGTAAATATTCTACCAGTGCCCCTGTCATCCAGAGAGAAGAATGTAAATATTCTACCAGTCCCCCTGTCATCCAGAGAGTAGAATGTAAATATTCTACCAGTCCCCCTGTCATCCAGAGAGAAGAATGTAAATATTCTACCAGTCCCCCTGTCATCCAGAGAGAAGAATGTAAATATTCTACCAGTCCCCCTGTCATCCAGAGAGAAGAATGTAAATATTCTACCAGTTACAAATAATTTTGTTATCCAAATCATCCTGATCTGTTGAACCCAAATATAGAATTTTAAGATGAAAGATAAAAATAAATATTTTTTAGTTTTTACATTTTCATATTTTTATAAAACTACAAAACATGAGATATTACAAATAAGCAATAATAATTTACTATGCAGTTTGGACCCGCCTTATCAGTGTTGGTTGTTTTGAGTGGTTGGCCCTAAGTTAGTTAACGACAATGAATATAATTGTATACGCACATCAAATTCTTTTATGTTTTGGGATAGATAAGGAGTTGATTAAGAGATAATCTGCGGCAGGGTGAGATCATTAACGAAGTGTACAGTGTCAGATACGTAAACATATGGTGATGTACACAACCGATCACCCTATTAATTAATAGAGTGGTCGGTTGTGTATATCTGAGGTAAGCTTTAACTCTTCGTAAGGTGTATAAATTGAGTTTACAGTTGATACACTGTGGCACGAACCCATTTTTTATTTCCTATTATGATGATCCCTGAATTCTGGAACATCCTCTCAGATGAACCCTACTGGAGAAAACAACTTATGGAATCTACACTGAATAGAAGTTTCCCTCTTTGTGTTCAAATGTGTTTGTGGACTGCAGAACCCATAATAACGTTTAAAAAGTGGTCGTGTAGTGAATGTAGTTCACGTACTTTATCGGACGATAGTTGGTCCGCTATCGCAGTCTCACGCACAATTCTTATATGATAGATAGATAATTTTACGAGAGACATCTAGCGGCTAAACTATCGTGCCCCAAAGTACGTGAACTACACGACCACTATCTATAGATTTGTTTGCGGTTTTGCTTTACAAATCTTGGATTATACTTTATAATTCTCTCACAAACGTTGGAGTATAGAGAGGCTGTTCGCATCACAATATATTAATTCTGTTCTAATCTAAAAGTTGCAGTTTCATCGTCATTATATTGTATATTTAAGACAATAGAAGAATGGTAAGAACCAAGGTTTATAACATGGTAAAAATTCTTTTACTCATCCCGGCCCCCCCTCTTAGCGCGTGAGGGGGTCAAAATAATTGCGCCACATAAACATTATATATATATACATATGTATAATTTAGGGTGAAACACGAAGGGGGTTAAAAAATTGGGTTCATAGTTTCTATGGGTGATGTGGAGCGGCATGAGCATTTTGTGAAAATTTGAGGTTGTTTTTAAAATTGCATCGGGTGGAAGTCTTTTTCAGGAAAATCCCCAACTTTACTTTTTTTGCCATTAAAACATCATCCTCAGAAATAGTGATTTGTTCACCTGTTGGCCGGAGAACAAACGATAAACTTATCATCAACAGAGCGGCCCACAGCAAATCAAGCGTGTAAAAAACTATAAAATTTAAAATACATGAAAATTTTTTTTAAAAGTCTGTCACCAAATTCCAAAAAAATCAATTCTGAAGGGACAGACAATATAAAGTCGTTCTACAACTGCAATTGATTCATATTCTTGAGAAAATATGGTTTAGGATTTATTGTATTTTATCTGAAATGAGACAAACAAAGATATTTCTTGGAGACCATACTTCTCCACTGTCTATAAAATAGAGAAAAATAAATGCATATTGACCAAGGAGTACGTAATAGAAGGGAAGATACAACTGATGCGGCCCGCCCAACAATATGATTATACTTGCTTTGAAGACGGTACTCCATTTGTATAAGAAATATTCAGAATTGGTTTTTGTACACGCGGTTATTGCACATCAGACAAATATTTCTTTTTCAAATGGAGTATGGTAGGGCGGGCCGCGTCAGTTGTATCTCCCTTCTATTACATACTCCTTGTTATTGACAAGAGATCCTAGAATCCCTCATTTACTACTGTATTGGGGAAAACATATATTTAAAGTTTTATTCACAATGATTTACCTAATTTTCCCATTTATAAATATCAGGAATAATACGTTTGTTTCATGCTTATGTAGGGTGTCAAAAATATTATTGAATTTAACTGCAATAATTTTACCGCCTTTTTACCAAAATTCCAACCCACGATTTCTCAAAAGCGTGATGTGTACTTAACTGTCCGTTGGACGCTCTGGATGTTTTTCAGGCAAAATTGGTCTTTGTAAGTTCCCTTAACTTCCCTTTAAAGTAGTGAAAACAAAATAATTACATGTTTCAATCTGAATTTTGTGACATCCTGTACTTATATTCCCCTGGTTATATTACAAGGAAGTTTATTTGCCACTAATTATTCACTCTATCAGCAACCCAGGCTCTAGGAGGCTATAATACATACATCCAGGGGCGGATCAGAGGGACCCTAGCCCCCCCCCCTGATCAAGATTTGATTAATAACAGTATTGTCATAATTGTCATGTACAGTTGTATATATTTTGATTATGTATTTTGATAATAAATTTTTTTTATGTTGTAAGTTTATATTTTTTAACAAACAAGAAATATAAATTTACTGCTTTTTGTTAAAATTTTAGGGAGAGGGGGGGGGGAGCCCAAAAAATATGGGCCCTCCCTGAGATATTGGTTAAATCCGCCCCTGCATAGATCCATTCAATCAAGTCTTTTTTATCCATTAATGGAATGGTTGGTTGGAAAAACAGTTGAAATTAATTCTGACACTTAATTGATTAATTTTGGCCGGGTACTTTTGAGCAACTGATCACAATTATTCGTTTGGAATTAAAGGGACTATTTACATTATTTCAAGTGAGTTTCCATTTAATGAATAACATCTAATGATCTAAGCCCCTTCTTTTAATAAAATAAATGGATATTGAATAATCAATGACCAAGAGAAAGTGTAAACTGTTTTTTAGTGATTAACAATTTTGTGCCTTCATTATACACTAGACTGAAAAAAGAAATATTAATAGATTTTTTTTACTTAAATCAAAGAAAGATTTTATATTTGTATGATCTCTCATCATGTTATAATTAAAGTTTCCCACGATGATAATATGTTTTAATTTTAAATGTTAAACTTTTTATTATTAACTAGCTGAAGTGCCCGGCGTTGCCCGTGAAATTTTTCAAAATGAAATTCTTTAAACAATTATGATTTTAAAAAAATGATTTTTGAAGAAAAAGAATTAGAATTTTGTTAGCCTATCTGGCCAGGGGCACTCAAGGGTTCCCTCAAAAACTTTCAGCCAATTCGTTTAAGCCGTTTAGCCAGCTATAGCTAACATACAATCAAATATATATGAGTGAAGAGTTTTACTACATATATAACAAACGACACTGAATATAAACACTTTAATTTAAACAATTTAGTTTGTAATTTTACGAAATATTGTAATCTTGCAGATATCTCTAAATACAAAAAGCGCTGAACTCGTTAAAATAAACGTTTATACAGGTTAATAAAATTATAAATATCAGAAACAATGATGAGATATCAGGAACAATGATGAAACATCAGGAACAGGTTAAGATNGATTATAGATCTTCAGAGATCTTTATAATCTTTATAGAACTTCAAGATCTTTTACATACAGAGCTTTCCCATGCCATATTAGATTATCTCAAAGCTTTAACGCCAAAATAAACACATGATACTTTATAAACCTAACATTTTCTGCAAGAAAATTTTTTTATCAGCCTTATTCAATTTTACTAAGTTATTTATTCTTCCTAAAAGTTCTTATTAGTCCCGACAAAAATGGAATTTAGACCCATTGACGATCTAATATGATATGTCAACTAAATATGTCTGAACAAGATAAACATTTAGATTTAAAAGAAAATCTTATAGATCTTTAGATATCTTTAAAGATATCATAGAACTCTTTAGAACTTATAGATCTTTACTAATATTTTTAAATCTTTATAAAGAAGTTTATAGATCTTTAAAGATATCATGTCTCATCTTTTTTTTAATATCTACAAATCTTTATATTGAAGTTTATAGAACTGTAAAGATATCTATAGAACTCTTTAAAACTTTTTAGATCTTTGCATATATCTTAAAAGCTCTTTATATTTTTTATTTATTTAACCTCATATGTGAGGTCGAAGCTAAATCCTTCCCCCACTACGACATGCCAGGTCGGTCCATACTTTATATCCAGGTTCTCTTTTATCATCTTTGCAGCCTTAAAGAGACATTTTCACTCTATCANAACAATCTTCAACAGTCTTAAAGAGATACAAAACAATCCTCAACAGCCTTAAAGAGACATTTTACAAAACAATCTTCAACAGTCTTAAAGAGATACAGAGTATATTTTAAAAAAATATCTTACCAATTCGTTGTTGTTCACATGTTTTTCACAAGCATTTGTGCATAACTCAAGAGTTTCAGTCTAACAATAAAAATGTAGTATATAATTACTAATTAGTTATACTTTAGTATATTTTAGTTTATAAAGATCCGACTCCTTCACTCGATCACTTAATCTTAATCTTAATCTCTTAATCGCTTTTAATTTCCTGTTAATCCGCTCTTTTTAAATATTCCGACCAATGAGAGCTCTCTCATTTAATGGCGCGCAAATTTTCAAATATCCCGGCTTCTGATTGGCTGTTTGGGATTCCGCATACGCCACTCTATTGGTTGAATTTCATAACTTTTCTTGAAACTAAAAAGAGGAGATCAAGCATTGATCTCAATATCGACAATTCTAAAGTTTCAGGTTTGAAGATTTTTAGAGATATATCAGATGCAACAATTTACAAATTACTAAATCCTTGGCGACACTTCTGAAGAAAAATATAGAACAAAAACGATATTCCATTTAAAAGAAACTATTTTTTTAATTTTCAATTTTCTTTGAATCTTGGGGAATTTAAAAGAATATTTATGCAATTTTTTATAAAATTATTAGTTTATATCAGAAAAAGTAGAATAAATGAAAATATTTCTGAGAGTAAATGATACAGTCATTTCTTCAGTTTTCTGGTTCTCTCTTATAACTGTGATAAACAACAATTTTAAAATAACCGAAGTCCTGTTTATTAAGCGAAAACTTCTTCTGTAGAGATTGTAAATTGTAATAAAATTGATAGGTTTACAACTTCAAGACTGTCATAAACTTTCCTTTTACTCGGGAAATAACAGTTTAAGACAATAACAAAAGTATTAAAGCAAAGCAAAGTAAGTATAAAAAATATTAAAATTTTTAATAACCTTCACTAAATGATTCTGTAATTAATTTCAATATATATAATATACATATATCTATCTATATAATAAAACAAGAAATTCATATATATATATAT